CCTCAGTTCCTCAGAATGTGACTGTATTTGAAGAGAACGCCTGTAGAGAGGTGATTACGGTTAGTGAGGTTCTATGGGTGGGTTCTCATCCAGTATGACGGATGCTTTCAGGAGAGGAAATTCAGACACACAAGAGGCCCCAGGGACATATGGGCACAGAGGAGATGTGAGGACAGAATAAGAGATAGCCTACAAGCCAAGGAGGCTTCAAAGGAAACCAACCCTGTTGGCACCCTTATCTTGGATGTCTGGTCTCCAGAACTCTACGAAAAGCGATGTCTATTATCTATTAATAAGGTGCCCGGACTGTGGTATTTGCTACAGAAGCCTCGGGGACTAACAGCGACCCAGTTCATACCTCCTCCCCACCGCACTGGCTCACCGACCCACCCAGTGAGGGTCTAGAACACAGGATTTTCAAGGGCCCTTTCAATTCCTGTTCCTTCAATTTTGGAAGTCTGAACCTCTTTTAAACAAACACAGAAATCATAAATGCCAATTTGGAGAATTTAAAGATGGGGATGGGGAATCCAAGTATTTTATAATTGTACCAGTTGGCCAAATTCAGCTTTCTTCAGATAAGCCACTGATAATGGAATCAAAGGATAAAGAAGGTTTTTGAGCTACTTGTAACAAAAAGATGTAAAGACAACCTATCTAATCAATGTCCAAGAAAAATGTCTAACAATAGAAGCACTGGCTGAATGGTTTATGCAATGCCCACATGTAGTTCTTTTACATTAAAAATGAAAATGAGACATTTGAAAAATGTCTACTTGCATGACAAAGTACTAAAAATGTAAGGATAAGTAGCAAAGACTGTGTGTACTTTTTATTTGTTTATTTTTGCTTTTTGTTCTAGGGTGCATGCACTCACCAGAAACAGAAAGTAAGAAATAATATCACACCCAGGGGAGATGGCCACACCACAATCCCTTCTCCATTCTTCTCTTGGGACTTTGGGCATGCATGCACATGCACCTGGCCTGAGTTTTAAGCTGCTGGGTCCAGGACTCGACCTGCGGTCGACTACGTGGGAGTCCAGCAATGTAACCATTACACCATCTGCTGGTCCCAAGAGTGTACTTTTTAAATGTGTGTACAAGTATTTATTTTTCACTAAATGTTCCAAAGGTTACTCCTGGATGATAATACTGGTGATTTTTGTTAGTTTGCATATTTTCACAATTGCCCATTTTTCTGCAGTATGTATGCATGACTTATATGACAGTTTCTGTGAGGGCCCTAGGGAGCTAAAACTTCAGATAATCTTAATATCCATGAAAGGCAAAAGTCTTCACACTAAAAAGCACTGAAGCCTGGCTGAAAGGACTTTGTGAAAGGCAGCAAGCCCAGAGTGCCAAAGCCAGCTGTGCCTAGCTCATTTGGAGGTGAAGGGGAGAAGGTAAACCTCCACTGGCCACTGGTCTGTGTATTCCTGTTTACCAGGAAACAGACGGGGTGGGCTGGCCCAGAGGCCATTGCTGAGTAGGTTACTCTGCCACTATGGGAACTGTGACAACAACCAACCTGTGTGTGTTACACCCATTAGCCCATGAGGCTCCCCACAAGGAGATACCCAATGGCCAGTGGCTTTCTGTAACTTGCTTCCTGGACTGTGGCACACCTTTCATGGCCTAAGAGAAGGGAGAGCCAAGAAAGCAGTGCAGTTTTACCAACAGCCAGCACTGAAACACCCCTCCCCATAAGTCCAGGCTGCTGATTTAGAGGAGTGAGTGAGGCAGCAAGAGGAAAGAACTTTCCCAGAGAGCCTTCCATCCCTCCTTCCAACCCTCCACACTCCCCTACCCAGCTGTGGAGAAAACACTTACACTTCCTGTAGATTTGGCAAGTCCTCAAAGTCAGCAGGGTCAATCTCAGAGAGTTTGTTATAACTCAGGTTTCTGGTAAAAGGAGAGAGAAAAAATTAACTCAACACTTGGTATTTCACCCAATATTCGGGAATCTTCTCTTCTCCACTCCCCACCAAATCCAAGCCCGCTCGTTCAATTCCGTCTTGTAGTTATTTTAAGTAATCGTATTGATACCGAGATTTGCAGATATAACTCCTTGCTACCTGCATTCAGAAACAAGCACTCAGAGCAACACTGTGAAAATCCAAATCGCTGGAGGCTAAACCCAAATGGATTTCAATCAATACCATCTCACTACTTAGCAACTTTTAAAGACATTCTAAGGACAGCCAGGCCTCTGACTACATAAAAGTGACCCGGTCCAAAAGCTTTCCACCATATCAAAGCCAAGGCTATTCTTAATGGCATTTTATTATTATTATTATTATTATTATTATTATTATTATTATTACTTTACTAAAGCATCAGGCTATGGTAAAGGAACAGAAAGGAGGGGGTTTTGACCGTTCGCGTCTAAACCAGTAGTTATTAACCAGGGGTGACTCGGCCCCCTGGGGGACCTTGGGCAATGTCTGGAGACATTTTTGATTGTCATGACTACGGAACAATGGGTGCTACTGGCACCTGGTAGGTGAAAAGCCAAGGAAGCTATCACATATCCTATGGTGCACAGGCAGCCCCCGTGCCGGACCACCAGAGAGTGCCCTCTACCCCTAAATGTCAATGCTCTATTCAGAGGTTGAGACATTCGGGTCTAAACAAGAATACAGACTGAAAATTGCTTAGCTATATAGGGGATCCAAGTTTAAGAGACTGTTCAGAAAGTGAACACTGTCAAATCCCGAAATCACAAGGCTATTTATGAGCATGGTATTTCTAGCATCAATGACTAAATATCAGGAATGACAGTCACACAGGGGAAAGAAGCCAGGTGTTTGATGTTCATGTCGGTGTTAGCCAGAGGCAGAGAAAGTCTCTCATGAGCAGCCCTCGCAAGATGACAGCATCTGTCTCTCTTCTTTTTTAATTACCAAAGGGCAAGTGTGCTCACCAGAGAGACAGATAGGAGAAAGCATCCTCAATGGGGCGTGGTCACACTGTGATCCCTTCTCCTCCATTTCTGTCTCCATCTTGTTGGGATTTGGGCATACATATACATACACATGACTGGAGTGTTTTTCAAGCTGCTGGGGCTGGGATTGGAACCATGGTCAGTCTCATGAGACCTGAGTCCCCTAACTTCTACGAAACAAGGCTGGCCCTCTAGCATGTGTCTCAACGGTTCAGAATTGCATTGCTCACCCATATCACAAACTATGCCCTTACAGGCAAACAAAGAACAAGCTGGGCCATCCTCACTCAGCCAAGGCTCTGATCACAACCTCAAGCCACACGAGCTCAGGAACAGAATCCAAAGATGTGATCCAAATGGACCTTAGCTTCTTACTGTGCACTGCAACCTCACTCCCTGCTACCAAAGACTACCCAGCCCTGTGTATGCCAAAGAGGTAAACATGTCAGCAATTATTTTCATTGAAATGACTGCCAATTAGCAGTTCTACTAATCAGGAACTGAAAGTCTCTTAAAATGTCAGCACATACGTGGCAACTATCTTTTAAACTTCCCCCAGAGAGATTTCGATCAATACTAACCTAAAGCCGATAGCCATTTCATGGTGAACTCCAAGACATCCATCTACATAAAAGTCAAACTACACTTGAAACTAATGGGACATATATGTTCATGGCACGGCCCGAATTAAAAGCAATTTGTCCAGAGATCATGTTACCGTAAGATTGAGGTGGTAATTTTTTTTAAACTACACATTGAAGTCAAGTGTGAACTTATCGAGGCTTGGGGGTTATTTATTAACGGGTACACAGAAACCAACAGGTTAAACCTAAGAATGAAATCTGCAAATTGAGCAAATTCCCCCATACCAGAAAGAGGACTGGATAGACCAGACTGAGATTTGCTTTTATTCTAAGCAGATTATCACCAAAAGAGGGGACAGAAATAATGTTTCTAGGTATAATGACAATGTGAGTCTTATGATGACTTTTATGTGCTACAGGTAATGGGAGTTGCTGAGCTGGAGGAGACCCTCAGAAGCCACGAAGGCAAGAGCCTAGAAGGCAGGCAAGTAACGCAGCTGGTGGCCCTGCCTGTGTGCAATGAGGCCAGTTCAGTGGTGCCCGCCTGCCTACCTACAGGGGCACCTGCTCCTAGCTCCAGAAACGGGGGCCAGTGAATACCAACCTTCTCAGTTTTCCAGGGAAACTGAAAATCTGAATTCTTATGTGAAATCTTTTCAATTCTTAGGGAGGGAAAAAAAAAAAAAAGGCAAGAAAGTAACCCTGGGTGGGCCAAACAAAATATATCTGCAGGTCACATTTGTCCTGAGGAATGCCAACTTTTGCCTCTGATCTAGGTCCACGAGTCTGACCTAGACTTTGAGAAAAGTTTGTTTCTGGCTTACAAATGTGGCTGGGGCTCACCTCTTAACCAATGAACTGAGGGTTCTGTTGTGAACTTTCTAAAATGAATTCACTTCCTTCATTTCCGACCCACCAAATGGACACATACTTCCACAATCTGGAATAAGACCATTTTATATCACATCACCCTTTGGCTTGTCTTTCCTTGAAAGCATGGACAAAACCTATATAAATTTTCGGTATTTTGGAGCAATTCTTTTTTAAAAAGGATACTTAAGGTCCAGCCTGTGGCCTGATGGTTAAGGCACTGGATCCCATGTGGGAACCAGACGGTTCAAGTCTTAGACCTAGCAGACAGAAAAACACACCAGGTGCACATGTGTGCATGCCCAAAATCCCAACAGGGGGAAGAAGCAAAGGAGAGGGGATTACAGTATAATCATGCCCCACAGAGGGTACTTTCTCACTCTCTTTCTCCCCCCTGCCTCAAGCACGCCCAACTTTTGGCAAATTAAAAAAAAGGGGGGGAAGGGGACACCAGCAGATGGCGTAATGGTTACATTGCTGGATTCCCATGTAGGCGGTTGAGTCCCAGATGCAGCAGCTTAAAACTCACACCAGACACATGTGCGTGCCCACCCAAAATCCAGAGAGGAGAATAGAGGAGAAGGGACTGCAGCGTGGCCATCCCCCCGGGCAGTGATTTCTCACTTTCTGTCTGTCTCTCCAGTGACCACACATGCCCTAGAGCAAAAATTTGCCCTCCTCCCCCAACCCCCCAAAAAAAGGCAAAAAAGAAAAGGAAAAAGCTATTTCAAGAAAAGGGTCATCCAGGCCTGGCCCTGGGGCATATGTGCACACATGGCAATAATCCTGATGGGATGGAGAAATGGAAGAATGAGGATTGCTGCATGACCATGGCCCACTGGGGGATGCTTTCTCTGGCAACCAAAAGTGGGGGGCAAGGAAGAGAAGGTCTTCCATAAACTCATGTTACAAAGAAGCTGAGGAGTATCAGGACTTAATACTGAGAAGTCAGCACGTAGCAATGATGCTGAAGATACGTGTAAGTGAAAACGTAAGTTCTTGCTAGGTCAGCCTGGATGAGGTGATTTTTCTAATTTCTGTGAACGAGAACAGACACACATACTCACACACGTGTCAGAAGATTGCCTCTGAAAATCACTCTCTAGAGCGCCTGCTGGCAGTACAGAGGAAATGGTCACTAGGGCTCACTGGGAACCGTTTCTGCTTCTGCACACAGAGCTGCCCTCACTTTTAAGTGTGAGATGTAAATTGTCCTAGAATCCAAAGAAAGCCTAATCCTCAACTGTTTTAACAGGAAATGATGAAAATATTTACCATACAGGGGGATTCAAAAAGTTCATGGACAGGTGAGAGGAAGGGAATCAAGGAGAAAAAGAAAGAAGCAAAACATTTAAGAGACACAAAAATGGAAAATTATCTGTTTATGACAACGTGTGATAATATCTTTGATTAAACCAATATACAGAGTTTTTTTTTTGTTTGTTTGTTTGTTTTTTACTTTTTTTAAGAGAGATTTTTTGCTATAGGGCACATACACTCACTAGAGAGACAGAAAGTGAGAAATCACCCTCCAGGGGAGTGGCCACACCACAATCCCTTCTCCTCCATTCTCCTCTCAGGATCTTGGGCACACGCACACATACATGCCCAGCATGAGTTTTAAGCTGCCAGGTCTGGGACTCGAACTGCAGTCAACTACATGGGAGTCCAGTAATGTATCCAATACGCCATCTGCTGGCCTCTATCCAGTGTATTCATGCTGAGAAAATTCATCTTGCATGCTGTAATAATATACAGTGATTGAATGTACATAAAAAAATAACATTTTTACAAAACACTTTTTTTGGGGGGGAAGGTTTTTGCTATAGAGCGCATATGCTCACCAGAAAGACAAAGAGACAGAAGACAGAATGTGAGAAATTATCCCCCGGAGGGATGGTCACGCCGCAATCCCTTCTCCTCTGTTCTCCTCTCGGGATCTTGGGCACGCATGCACACACACCTGGCGTGAGTTTAAGCCACCAGGTCCGGGTTCGAACCATAGTTGACTACATGGACACCAACTGCTGGTCCCAAAATAACATTTTTTTTTTTTAAAGTTCATGGACAAATGAAATTAAGGCACGAGAGTATCTTGGTGCAGAAATTTTGAAATTCACACACAGGTTTCCCCAAATACGCATTTTTCTGTGAACTTTCTACAGACCCCACATATTCTCCCGGATGAATACAATATAAAGTAAGACCCTGAGAAGTACTTGCTCGATGGCTCATTGCAGGTAGATAAACTCTCCCAGTATCATGTTTTATGGTAAAACATACATAACAAATGTTACCATTTCAACAATTTATAAGTGTCCTATTGAGTGGCATAAAGTGTATTTACACTATTTTGCAACCATCACCACCCACCCATCTCCGGAATCTTCTCAACGTCCCAAACTGAACCTCTGCACCCGATGACCACGAACTATTTCCCTCTTCCCTAGTTCCTAGCAACCACCACTCCACTCTGTCTCTAGGTACCTCATATAAGTAAAATT